AGCTGGGAATACAGCTGCCATTCCCAGCTAGTTTTTTGTACTTCAGTAGAGACAGGGTTTCACCATGTTGCCCAGGCTGATCACTAACTCCTGAGCTCAGACAGTCCACCTGCCTGGGCCTCCCAAAGTGCCAGGATTACAGGCGTGAGCCACTGCGTCCAGCCTGTTTAGTTTTTTAAAAGGCAGTCTCAGTGTATTGCCCAGGCTGGAGTGCAGTGGCTTGATCATGGCTTCCTGCAGCTTTGACCTCTTGGGCTCAAGGAATCTTCCCACCACAGCCTCCTGAGTAGCTGGAACTATGGGCACATGCCACCATGCCTGGCTAATTTTATTTTTTGTATAGATAGATAAAATTTAAAACCGTTTATTTTTTGTATAAATACAAAGACCATGTTGTCCAGGCTTGTGTCGAACTCCTGGGCTGAAGTGATCCTCCAAGTGAAGCCATCCAAAGTGTGGGGATTACAGGTATGAGCCACTATGCCTGCCTAATTATTTTCTCTACAGGTTTGACTTTCTGTTTCATTTGTTTCCCTGGTAATTTTTTTTTTGGAGCGGGAGGGAGATATCAGACATTATGAAATTTGTTATTGGTTGCTGGATGTTTTGTTTCTTTGGATATATTTTAGCTTTGTTCTAGGATGGTTATTTGGAAATAGTTCAATCCTTTTGAGGTTTTTAAGTTTTCTTTAGGCAGATCTGGAATACTCTTTTGTACTAATTTGGCTCCATTACTAAAGCACTACTTTCTGCTCTTGATGTTGGGATTATTTTAGAACCTTTGTGAATCCTGAGGTTTCATCTACTCCTTTCTGGTGTTTGTCTTTCAGTTTTCAGTAGTTTTCTCATGCAGTAAGCTGATTAAAACCTAGCCATAGACTGAGGGGACCCTCTGTAGATCTCTGGAGGTTGTTCGCTCTCTTCTCTCTACTTACTCTGTTCTACAAATTCTAGCCACCTTGGTCTTTCTAAACTGTCTCCTCAATTTGGTGAGATTGTTGGATTCTGTTTGGGTCTGCCTGTATGCTGTGGATAAAACTCCACAAGGTAAGCTGGGATAGTCATTAGGCTCACCTCATGCGCCTCACTGTCTCTGAGATCACTGTTGTGGGCTACTAGTTGTTCAGTGTTTCCAATATTTCACGTATTTCGGCTATTTTTCTAGTTGTCTGAGTTAGAAGGGTGAATCCTGTCCAGTTACATCCATCGTGGCTAGCTAAATAGTATTGTATTACAGTCTCACTGATATAGGCACAAAATATTTTGGATTTTTTTGGGAGGGGTGTGCGGAGGAACGGAGTCTCACTCTGTCACCCAGAGTGGAGTACAGTGGTATGATCTTGGCTCACTGCAACCTCTGCCTCTCAGGTTCAAGCAATTCTCCTTCCTTAGCCTCCGGAGTAGCTGGCATTACAGGCACTTGCCACCATGCCCAGCTAATTTTTATATTGTTAGAAGAGGTGGGTTTTCGCCGTGTTGGCCAGGCTGGTCTCGAACTCCTGATCTCAGGTGATCCACCTGCCTCAGTCTCCCTAAAGTGTTGGGAATATAGGTGTGAGCCGCTGCACCTGGCCACATTTTGGGTATTCTTGTTGCCAGTGGTGCCTGAATGTTTGTAGTGCATGTACACTATTATAATGTTTATTTTTAGTATTCAAACTCTTAACTTGGACATTTGTGATACATTGTGTGGTTCACAGACTAGTGTTGGCTTGCTACTGGTCTGCAAAGAGATAAGTACAAAAGTTTGGAGTAAGCATTTAGAAACAAAGCAATTTGACATCTCCCTGACATTGTATTTTTAAAAACCTACGGTAACAGACTAGAAATAAAATACTTAGTTCTTTAACCACAGGTAGTTTGAGAAGCTCTGTGCTAGACCACTTGGTCAAAATGACTCCTTAATAAAACTATTTGACATAAATAACTGGCTGTGACAGAGTTTGTAGGTAAGGATCGAAGACCATTTCAAGATTTAGGCAAATGGCCCAGATAGCTTACTTAACCTGTAGCTGAAAGCACTGCCTGCCCTGCCCTTTAAGTTGTTCCTCATCCCTGTGGGTATAGCTGTGAAGTTACTACTTATTTTCAGCCCTAGATATTTGAATGAGTAAGAATTATATATATATATATATTTTTTTTTTTTTAAAGAATCACATAGTCACAGACTTAGAAGGGACCTTGGGGCCAACCATTCCAACTCTCTACATGGTACTCATATTTTGAAATACCCTCATCAGGTGGTATCCTACTCTTTGATTAAAACTGATGGGCACATTTTACCTTATTGTTTAGTCTTTCTCCATTTAAAGAGCTCTAAGTGTTTAAAAGCTCTTTATTATAATAAGATGACTTCCCCATGACTTTTACACACTGGTCTTGGTTCTGCCATCTGGTGCCACATACAATGGATGATAGCTGGAGACAGTCATCATTCCCCTAAATATTCTCTTCTCCACCCTAAATGACTGAAGTCCTTCTTTAGCATGTTCCTGTATCCAAGATTGCTTATCTCTGGATAAGCTTATTTTTCTTTGCAAAGATGGAATGAGGATTAGAGCACAATAGGGTGTGAGCTTAAGCCCAGGAGGCAGAGGTTACAGTGAGCTGAGATTGCACCACCGCACTCCAGCCTGGGTGACAGAGTGAGACCATGTCAAAAAAGAAAGAGAGGAAGGAAGGAAGAAAAAGAAAGGAAGGAGGGAAGGGAGGAAAGAAGGAAGGAAGAAAGGAAGGAAAGAAAACAGTACACTCAAGAGCTGGACCTATCTCTTTCTGTGTTCTATGCAATATATTTCTATCGGTGCCCCTACAATCACATTGTTTTTTGTCCGCCTCCCTCAGCTTGCTTTATATTCCTCTTGAAATCAACATTGAAATCCCCTAAGATTTTTTTCCCCAGGCTTTGATATTTAGCTGTTCTTCCCTGATTCTGCATATATGTAGCTAGTTTTTTCGGCATAGGAGTAGGACTTCATGAAGATTCTTCTTAAAATAGGCCTATTGTACCATTCTGTTGAGACTTTTTATATCCTGACTCTATCACTAAATATATTTACTGTTGCCACTGGCTCCACATTGGCTGCAACCTTTATAAACAGTCCTTGAGTCCTTTCTTAAAATTGTTGAGAAAACACTTGAGCATAAAACGGTGAAAATGAGATCATGAGAAAGCTATAAATTCTTACTGTAACATTTTGACCTCCTATTAATGTTAAAATTAAAAAAAAATTTTTTTTAATGGTTTTTTCTTATTGCATTTTAGGTTTTGGGGTACATGTGAAGAACATGCAAGATTGTTGCATAGGTACACACATAGCAGCGTGATTTGCTGCCTTCCTCCCCTTCATCTATGTCTGGCATTTCTCCCCAACTCCCCACCCCCTGCTGTCCCTCCCCTATTTCCCTCCTACAGACCCCAGTGTGTGATGCTCCCCTTCCTGTGTCCATGTGTTCTCATTATTCAACACCCGCCTATAAGTGAGAACACGCGGTGTTTGATTTTCTGTTCTTGTGTCAGTTTTCTGAGGATGATGGTTTCCAGGTTCATCCATGTCCCTACAAAGGACACAAACTCATCGTTTTTGATGGCTGCATAATATTTCATGGTGTATATGTGCCACATTTTCCCTGTCCAGTCTACCATTGATGGGCATTTGGGTTGGTTCCAGGTGTTTGCTATTGTGAACTGTGCTGCAATGAACATTCGTGTGCATGTGTCCTTATAGTAGAACGATTTATAATCCTTTGGATATATACCCAGTAATGGGATTGCTGGGTCAAATGAAGTTTCTATGACTAGGGCCTTGAGGAATTGCCACAGTGTCTTCCACAATGGTTGAACTAATTTACACCCCCACCAACAGTGTAAAAGTGTTCCTATTTCTCCACATCCTCTCCAGCATCTGTTGTCTCCAGATTTTTTAATGATCACCATTGTAACTGGCGTGAGATGGTATCTCAATGTAGTTTTGATTTGTATTTCTCTAATGACCAGTGATGATGAGCATTTTTTCACGTTTGTTGGCCTCATATATGTCATCTTTTGTAAAATGTCTGTTCATATCCTTCGCCCACTTTTGAATGGGCTTGTTTGCTTTTTTCTTGTAAATCTGTTTTAGTTCTTCGTAAATTCTGGATATCAGCCCTTTGTCAGATGGGTAGACCGCAAAAATTTTTTCCCATTCTGTTGGTTGCCAATTCACTCTAATGACTGTTTCTTTTGCCGTGCAGAAGCTGTGGAGTTTGATTAGGTCCCATTTGTCTATTTTGGCTTTTTTTGCCAATGCTTTTGGTGTTTTGGTCATGAAGTCCTTGCCTACACCTATGTCCTGAATGGTTTTGCCTAGATATTCTTCTAGGGTTTTTATGGTGTTAGGTCTTATGTTTAAGTCTTTAATCCATCTGGAGTTAATTTTAGTGTAAGGCGTCAGGAAGGGGTCCAGTTTCTGCTTTCTGCACATGGCTAGCCAGTCCTCCCAACACGATTTATTAAACAGAGAATCCTTTCCCCATTGCTTGTTTTTGTCAGGTTTGTCAAAGATCAGATGGTTGTAGATATGTTGTGTTGTCTCTGAGGCCTCTGTTCTGTTCCATTGGTCTGTATCTCTTGTTTTGGTACCAGTACCATGCTGTTTTGATTACTGTAGCCTTATAGTATAGTTTGAAGTCTGGTAGTGTGATGCCTCCCGCTTTGTTCTTTTTGCTTAGAATTGACTTGGCTATGCTGGCTCTCTTTTGGTTCCATATGAAGTTTAAGGTGTTTTTTTCCAGATCTGTGAAGAAAGACATTGGTAGCTTGATGGGGATAGCGTTGAATCTGTAAATTACTTTGGGTAGTATGGCCATTTTCACGATATTGATTCTGAATTAAATTTGATAAGGTAAGTAAGTAAATAATACTTGGGTATTTAATAAGTGACAGCTCTTTTATTTTTTATTTTCAGGCTTAATAATTGCCTCCAGTTTTACCTTTTTCCCCCCTTAATTTTTTATTGCAGAATTGAAGATGTTCCTGCTCCTTCTACATCTGCAGATAAAGTAGAGAGGTAAGATTATTCACATGGTACAATTAGATTTGTATCTGAAACATAAACTAAGAACAATATAACATGAGAACAGTTTCGTTTTTATTTTTTAATTAATTTTTTTTTTTTTTTTTTTTAAATAGAGGTGGGATCTCTCTTTCTTGCTCAGGCTGAAGTGCAGTGTGTTGTCCGGGCTCACAATAACCTTGAACTCCTGGGTTTAAGCAATCCTCCTACCTCAACCCCTGAGTAGCTAGGACAACAGGCACATACCACTACACTTGGCTCACTTTAAATTTTTTGGAGAGATGGGATCTTGCTATGTTGCCAAGGTTGGTCTCAAAACTCCTAGCCTCAAGCAGTTCTCCTTGCCTCAGCCTTCCAAAGTTTAGGATTATAGCTTTGAACTACCAGGCTGGTCTCACGTACTTCCTTGTGACTTTTCTATCTTGATATGACTGTTTTTTTTTTGTTGTTGTTTGTTTGTTTGTTTGTTTTCTTAATCTCAGATGTACACCTGCAGAGTTACTTTTATTTTTGGGGGGTTGTGGGGAGATGGAGTTTCACTCTTGTTGCCCAGGCTGGAGTGCAATGGCGCAACCTCCACTTTCCCGGTTCAGGTGGTTCTCCTGCCTCAGCCTCCCAAATAGCTGGGATTACAGGCATGTGTCACCATGCCCGTCTGATACTGTATTTTTAGTAGAGACAGGGTTTCTCCATGTTGGTCAGGCTGGTCTCGAACTCCTGGCCTCAGATCATTCCCCCGCCTTGGCCTCCCAAAGTGCTGGGATTACAGGCGTGAGCCACTGCACCCGGCCCATGGCTATGTTTCTTTATCAGAAGTGGGCATAGCAATTAACTAAAAAGCTTACCCAAAAGGTAGATGTTAGGTTGCATCCCTAGAGATTTTTGTTAATGTTTTAGTTTTTATAACAGGGTCTTATTCTGTTACCCAAGCTGGAGTGCAGTGATGTGATCATAGCGCACCACCACCTTTGACTCCTGGACTAAAGGGATTCTTCTGCCTTAGCCTCTTGAGTAGTTGGATAGGCAGGCACCACCACATCTGGCCATTTTATTTTCTTTGAGACGGATTCTTGCTCTGTCGCCCAGGCTGGAATGCAGTGGTGCAATCTTGGCTCACTGCAACCTCCGCCTCCTTGGATCAAGCAATTCTCGCACCTCAGTGTCCCAAGTAGCTGGGATTACAGGTATGCACCATCACTCCCTGCTAATTTTTTGTATTTTTGGTAGAGACAGGCTCTCATCTTGTTGGCCTGGCTGGTCTTGAACTCCTGACCTCAAGTGATCCACTTGACTTGGCCTCCCAAAGAACTGGGATTACAGGCGTGAGCTACCATGCCCAGTCTATTTATTTTTGAGATGAAGTTTCACTCTTGTTGTCCAGGCTGGAGTGCAGTGACGCAATCTTGGCTTACTGCAGTCTCCGTTTCCTGGGTTCAAGTGATTTTCCTGCCTCAGTCTCCTGAGTAGCTCGATTTACAGGTGGGCCCCACCAAATCCAGCCAATTTTTTGTATTTTTAGTAGACATGGGGTTTCACCATGTTGACTAGGCTGGTCTTGAACTCCTGACCTCAGGTCATCTGCCCACCTTGGCCTCCCAGTGTTGGGATTACAGGCGTGGACCACTGTACCTGGCTGAATTATTTTATTTTTTAAAGTGGAGTCTTGGTTTGTTGGCCAGGCTGGTCTCCAGCCTGGACTCCAGCAATCCCCCTGCCCTGACTTCCCAAAGTATTCGGATTAGAAACCTGATCTACCATGCCCAGCTGATTTTATTTGTTAAGCTTGAGATAAAGTCTTGGTGTCTTTGTTATGGAGAATCTTTCTGATTAAGATGGAGAATTATTACTGTTTCTGTTTAAACCTTGTGCAGAATATCTTAAAAATACTTTTATCTTTTTTGGAGACGGAGTACAATGGCATGATCTCGGCTCAGTGCAACCTCCGCTTACCGGGTTCAAGTGATTCTCCTGCCTCAGCCTCCTGAGTAGTTGAGATTACAGGCACCCACCACCTCACCCGGCTAATATTGTTTTTATTTTTTTCCTTCTCCGAGAGTGGGTCTTGTTCTGTTGCCCAGGCTAGAGTACAGTGGCATGATCTTGACTCACTGCAACCTCTGCTTCCTGAGTTCAAGCAGTTCTCCTGCCAAGCCTATGGAGTAGCTGGGATTACAGGCGCCTGCCACCATGCCCAACTAATTTTTGTTTTTTTTTTTTTTGAGATGGAGTCCTGTTCTGTTGCCAGGCGCCAGGCTGGAGTGCAGTGGTGTGATCTCAGCTCACTGCACCCTCCACCTCCTGGGTTCAAGCAATTCTCTTGCCTCAGCCTCCCGAGTAGCTGGGACTACAGGCGTGTGTCACCACGCCCAACTAATTTTTGTATTGTTAGTAGAGACAGAGTTTCACCGTGTTGGCCAGGATGGTCTTGATCTCTTGACCTTGTGATCCACCCACCTTGGCCTCCTAAAGTGCTGGGATTACAGGTGTGAGCTACCGCGCCCTGCCTGATTTTTGTGTTTTTAGTAGAGACAGTGTTTCATCATTGTGGCCTGGCTGTTCTTGGGCTGCTGACCTCATGATCTGCCCACCTTGGCCTCCCTGAGTGCTGGGATTACAGGGGTGAGCCATCATGTCCAGCTGTAATTTTTGTATTTTCAGTAGAGACAGGGTTTCTCCATGTTGGCCAGGCTGGTCTCGAACCCCTGATCTCAGGTGATCCACCCGCCTTAGCCTCCCAAAGTGTTGGGATTACAGGTGTGAGCCACTGCACCTGGCCACAAATACATTTTTTAAGTTTCCATATGGTCTTGTGTTTTTCATGTTTGAAATCCAGTTATCATCTTGGTTATTTAACCCTTTTCCTTTTTGCCCCAAGAATATATGCTAGTGGTGCTTGGGGCTGCAGCATTTACCCAGTGATAACTGCCACAAGATAGCTCCCCTTAATTGTTATTTTCACATCACTGTAATACATTGATTTTGGAAAAAAAGACATCATTCTATTTATAGCACTGTTTTTAGTAGTTGTATTTTCATTTACAGAATATAGTAATT